AGGTCCAGGCGTCCGTGCCCGGTCAGCTTGTGGCCCGGCCCTCCTCGTTGTTAGCTGGCCCGAGTAGTCACCCGTTGCCCCCATCGCTCTTCCCAGCGAGCAAACCCCACAGCGAAACCGGATGATGAAACAGGCAAGGCTGCAGGAAGACAAAGATCATGCCGAAAACTGCGGAGAGTGGCTTGATAAGAGTGAAGTGCGCCAGATAATGCGATGTGCGTACTTCAGCTAGTTCACACTTGAAGAAGCGACAAGTGACCACGGATTTAGCATCGTAACGAAGGTCATTGTTCACTGGATAAAAAAAAACAGCTTAGTGGTAAGATAAAACACGGTTTATCTCTGAAAGCTGCATGTTTTCAAAATAAGTGGTTGAGACTGATGGTAGCTACATTTGAACGTTATTAGGACTTAAATTTACTTGTGTGATGACCTGCCTACAAACCGTGACCTATAACCGTCTTTACGAGCTAACAGAGCCTGACCTGCGCTACTGTAACTTCACATCGCATCTCAGTAATCTCTGTGATAATGACCGTCGCGCCGCCAGTACCTAACCGCCTCCCGCGCCAATTGCCAGCTTCCTTCCGCGCTCCAGCATGAAACCTTGGCGCGCGCGCCGCACTTGCAGAGCCTGTTCCACGCTGTGGTCTCGGCTTCAGTTGACCTGTCGACCGTCGGCGCGCCGGCTGCCTGACCCGGCCGACCCCGACCTTCACCCCGACCTCGGACTGACCCACTTCAGAGCGCGGGCCGACGGCGGGAACGGAGCGAGGCGCGCGCGAGACAGCCCCGGCGCGGCGGCAATGGTGCCAGCGCCCCGCTCATTTATCCCACCGTTTTTGTTGGTTGCTCGAGATCTGGGGTCGTTGTTGTGACTGCATGGGCTGGCCGACGGCCAGAAGCCCTCGAACTGCCGTGAGCTGCTGGATGCTGCCTGGTGTCGGCGTTTTTCTGATGTAGGGTATCGATGCCAGATTAATTGTTCTGTGTCTGGCTTGGGCCTAAATCGGCGTTGATTGTACAGACACTTCTTGCACTAATCCGATTATGCAGGGGAGGTTTCACAACGGGACGACAAGCCGATTGTGTCGCTGCCTCATCGCGCCGCGGGCGACAGGCGGGCCCCTGCTGCGCCGCAAATGACGCAGTTCAGTTCCTTACCTCATCAGAGCGAACACAAGAACGGTGCGCCAAACAGAGAGGGTGAGAGATGGGCAGGCGCAGTGGCGGTGCCGGAGCTCGACACTGACCTGCCGGAGTCGGTGTCGAGTCCAGCAGCGCGGCAAACAGGCCGCCAAATGACAAACGACACCGGCCACCGGTAAACAATTACACGGAGTGTGGAGCCGAGATCGGGGCCAGAGCGGCGGACGGCGACGGAGCGGAACGAACGACCTGTTAGGTGTTATACTGCAGTCTGCAGCTGCCCGCAACGAGGACCCTGACGTAGAGCCGGCAACGGATTTGCGTAAAAAGCACGTTTAGGTAAAATGAGACAAGGTATTGCCGAACAATGAGGCACATATGCGGGCTGCGATCCATATCGAGCGGGTAGGCGCCCAACAAACTGGCTATTCGTGGCTGTAATGTCGTGTTTGGCACCTGCCCGGAGAGCAATGGGGCTTTTATAAGCGTGAGAACGCTGTTTGGTCGGTCATGATCCGTCGTTATGTCCCTCATCGCCCGATTTTATGGCGATTCCGACGTAGAGTATGACGGCACGACAAAGGCTTGTTAGCCGCCCCAAGAGCGATGAACATAGCAGCTGCTTTCACAACATGTGACTGGTAAGGAAGAGATCACTGAAAGGCCGCGCCTGGAAGGTGGTATTATTCAGTTCTTCGATGTTACCTGGCCGGCGATCCTGGCCAGTGGTGCCCCGTCCCGTCATCTACGGTCGGCTCATTGAGACGTCCCGCTGTCATTCTCAGCGAGATTACAGAGACCGATCCTCGGTGTCCGAGGTCCTGAACTGCTCCAAGGCAACGCCGCCTGATGAGGATCTCGCGGCTAGCACAACGCGCGCTCCGGGCGACGCGCGACCTTCATTTGTCCAACAACAGTTCCCTATCCACCGGTCCGTCAGCCGCCAGCGGACCCCCGCCGTGGGTCCATTATGGAGCGTTTAGGCCGTGAACGTCACATCGTGGTGGGACTTCATATCGCACTGACCTCAAATCGCGGCACTTGATGAACTGAGCGTCTGGACGGCCGAATCTGCCTGCGGGCTATCCTCGACAGTGGATGGGTTCGCTCTCGTACCGTTGCCACCCAGGCGATTCACTGACGTCAAAATCACCCGTGGGGGACGCGGCGATGTCCGCCGCAAATGTGGCGAATCTGACGCACCGGTGCAGGAGCTGTGGTGCTGACAGCGTGCCGTTATTGTGGCAGTTGACGGCGTGCGCACACAGCAGTGCTGACATACTGGAAGAGCGTGTTGCAACGGTCCCGGCGTCACTGGCGGGCGGGGCCCTTTCAGATGTCCTCCTAATCTGCTGCGCAGACACGTGGCTCCCCAGTCAACGTGCTGCAGTGGTTTTATTGAGCCTTTTGTGGCAGTAATTGTGAGGATTACTCTCATTGTTATTCGGGTCCCTCCCTTAAAACCAGCAGCAGACACGCCGTAAAGAACAAGGACATTATTTGCCTTTTCCCCGTATTAAGTTTTCGGTGGACGTGGTAACAGTAAACCACATTGCAGCTTGCACAAAGGGCTTGTCAGTGATGGGCCCACCGGGAGAGCTACAGCTTCACGGTTTCGTGTTGCACTTCCTCTCTGTTCTGAGCTTTGTCTCTGTCCTATCGAGCAGCTCCGAAATGCAAATGCAGACGGGTGGATGAGACACCCTCCATGTGTCTGCTTTGCGGTCAGAGTATTAGACAACCGAAACAGACCGCTTGCGGCAGACCAAGGTGTTTCCTGCAGGTGCCTGTGGCGGCGACACGGTGAACTGGGTCGAACAGAACGAGCGCCTCCTGCACGGGCCGGTTGGAAGCCATAGAAGGCAGCGGCCAGGCACTGTCAAGGTCGCCCGGCGCCGGGACCCGCGGGGTGTCCGCGGCCCGCTCTGTCTGCCGGGGCTGCGGTCCGTCCGACCTGCCCGCAGGGGTGTCATCAGCGGTGGCACTGCCAGCCGCCGCAACGATGATGGCGAGGAAATTTCCATCGGTATTCCGCGCTGCTGCGCGTAAGCCTGGAAAGGCGCCAAGTCCGGCGGCACCGGGCCCCTGGGCGCCGGATTACCGCGGCACACATCGGCGCGCGCTGGCATTGACACAGAACACGTACACAGGGGACCAGACTTCCGAAGGGTAGAGGTGACGTCACCGACGGACAAGGCCGCCGCCGGGTGACCTGAGCAGCTGAACACTGCGTTAGCAGGGCGGCAGGCCCTCCTGACCCGGCGGCGCCTTCCTGTCGGCGCGAGGAGTCACCGGGCTTCGATGAACGGCCGCCATGTTTGAGCAGTCTGCACCGCTGAATCAGCACGTCAATCATCGAACGGCATCGGTCAGCCTTCGTCTGCAGAAGGGCGGTCTTCCCGGCGTGGCCGGCACATGACAAAGGGAAGTGCTGGAGGTCTGACAGGCCGCTCTGCAGCTCCGCAGGGAACGGCTCCGAACGGAATTGAATGTCCACTCCAGAGTTTGTCAGCGGTTCCGTTTGCGCCACACGAAGACGTCCATGTCCGGTTCAAAGGCCGCGATTAAGGCGTAAAAAACTGCGAAACCTCAGCGGAAGACAAATAAAAGCTTGAAACACCTGGAAAATCTGATCGGAAGTGCTAATCAGAGATATCCCTCGATCGCGCAATCGACTATCAGTGCGGAAACAACCATGAGTGACTGAAAAACGATAACGTCTTGAAAGTGAATCTTGCTGCAGTTTTCCATGGAAAGAAAAGAGACAGAAAAAAAAACTTGGATTTAGCCAATCGGTAATTGGTCCAGGTCACGTTTTATTTCTACTTTTTTTCCAAAACTTTTTTAGTGTTCACAGGCAGTCCATGTTTTCCCAGACTAAATTGTGAAGATAAAAACACCGAGCTACGATCAGCCGCGATTACGATTATGGCAGTCGTTTTTATATACGTGCCTGCTATATGTCGCAAAACACCATTTTTCATGCCACAAATGACCAACAACGATCATCGATCATTGCTAAACACGACCCTGACAAACGCGACCAAACTTCGTAACCGGCTGTCCTCAACGCCACCGTTAACCGTGGGAGCGGCGGCGCGCAGCCCGGTGCTGTTTTCCCATCGGCGGTATCATCATTAGAGCGCGTCTCAAACGAATCGGCCCCAGTGCAATCGGCTCAAACGAGCCGCCGCAGGTGCAATCCATCACTTGGAGGCGTCCCACACATCCCAGTCGAGGTCGTCTCCCCAGCTGGGGCTGCTGAGGCCACTAGGGGCTGGGAGTTCAGAGTTTGCACTACCCCGAGGTTGTGCACCAGCGTGCTGCAGGGTTATTTGTTGTTTTGGTCGGACGGGGTTTCTCTTCTCCGCTGCTCCAGGAGGTACCGCCTCCGGGATGACGAGACTGTTTGGTATGTGGGCTTGGACACTCACTTCATACACCCGGACGCTGGGTGCCTCCCCGTATATACCTCCGAACGAACGCTGTCCTTGTCCCGGTCACCAAAGAAGGCCACCGCGTTAGACCCCCGAGGGTGATCGATCCAGCTGCATATAGCGTGAGAGGTGATGGATTCGAGACACGTTTATGGTAGTCTTTTCAGCCAGCCGCCGAAAACTCTTTGTATGGCAGGAGCTGACCCACTTTATTTGGTGGTGGGTGTGCATTTAATATCCGCCGAGCACGCTGGAAAACGTTTAGCGACAACACTCCCTCCCATACTCACATCTCCCTATGGACCACCCGGCAGCCCTCCAGCCCGCACAAGTGCCAGAAGTAACCAGATAGACCACCCCGCCGCCCCCCCCCCCCCCCCGGCCGGCACAAGTGCCTCTCGGCCGTGCACTCACCTTGTGCCAGTTTGGCAGTGTAGTCCTTGTTCTCGACGATGTAGTCGAGCTCCATAGTGGAGTCCATGACGGCCTGGATGGTGCGCACGCACTCCCGCTCCAGCAGGAGCACGTTGACCTTGCCACAAGACTCTTCGCTGCAGCTGAGCGCGTGCAGACACTCGAAGAGCGCCTCCACCAGCCGGGAGAGGGTGGGCGGCGACGGCTGCGGCTCGGCCGAGTCACTGGGGTGGCGGCGCAGCACCGAGCAGATCTCGTGCAGCCCGCTGACTGAGGGGTTTCGCAGCCCGTCTGTGAGCGCGTCGAGGTCCTGTTCCGGGTCCGAGTCGAACTCGGTGATTGTAGGCAGTAGATGGTTGCCGTGGAAACCTGCGAGCAGACGAAAGGTTAGTGGTGTGAACAGAGAACAGAACGGAACAGGGGCTGAGGGAAAAAATAGGTTAGGGTATCGGAAAGCATGCGTTACGTTGAACCGTAACGCTGTTTTTTTTTTTTGCGAGAATGCTTCACGCTTGTGACATTAGACTGGTTCGGTGATGAGGTGGTGAGCGAGACGTCAAGGATCTCCCGGTAGTTGTCAGGCTGCTTGAGATGATGAATTTCATACGCACTTAATTTTCGATCATTGCGCATTAATGATGGTTCTTCTTGTATTCCATTCATGTTATCACCCACGATCCCCAGGACTGAGCGAATCTCAAATGACAGCTACCGACAGAGATACAGCAAATCGCTGCAGAAAACCACTAAATCACCTAATCTAAATCCAAGATCTACCACCAGTGCGGTTCTCCGTTCGGTGAACTGAACGAAACGCCAGCCAGCGGAATATCGGGAATGCCATTTCACTACCCCGCGAATTGGCTGTCTTTGAACAAGCTGGACATTGTTATATTGAATTCCCTGTTGCACATTTACGACACAACAGATGTATTTACAACTGAAAACACATGGCGACAACTACCGGCACAGAAGCTTGCCTTTCGGACAACAGAGCGGAAATGGTTTAATAAGCTGGGCCGCGATTTACGAGAACCGTTATGCGCCTACGCCCTGGACATACGCAAGTCACTTCACCTGGCCGGTAGTACTGTTATGCTATCTTATTCAATCTCAACTGCGTAGGAGGTGCGTTTGCTGTAGCCGCTGGCCACGCATTAGTTAGTGGTCGACAGCTTCAATTTCCGAGCCGCGTCTATGATCATTACGATGCAAATAGAAACAATCAGGCGCTGATTGAGCCGGTGGTTTTATGCAATGGCTCTCCATTGAACCGGAACGGTCAGGTCAAGTCCTGGACGGCCATTCATGGACAGCTGCGCGCCTATTTAGTGCCGATGTGCCATATCCAGCCGTCTTGTCGCCTTGGGCCGGATCTAGCGCCGCGCGCTGGTTGTGCAAGTCTCTCCATCCACACGAGGTGTCGCCGGCTCGTGCGTGCCAGTCTCGGACAGAAGGCTCCTAGCATTGACCCTGTGACCTGGCGGCGCGCCCCGGTCGGCCAAGGTCGGCGCCCGCCGGCTGGCGGAAGAGCGGCCGTCACGGCGCCGCCGCAGAGGCGGAGTCGAAGGCGGAGCCGATCTCAGCCTGCCGTACCGGCGCCCTGCCACACTAATAACGCAGCGCCCGGGCGCGATGCGGCGCTTCGGCCAGAAAATGTGTCCAAATCGGGGTCAAGGTGGCGGACCTCATCAGGCATTCTGGTGGCGAGTGCGGCGGCGCGTCGGCAGGAGGGGGCGCTTCCCTGAGTGCGCGCGCAGCGCCGGCGCGCCGCTCTGCAAGGTCGTCGCGGGGGCCGATGGAGATCAGTCGGTAGATTGAGAGCCATATTTGGCAAAAGCGCGACTGTGGGGCGGCCTGGCGGTGCCCAGGTGCCGCGCGCAGGACGGCTCCGGCCCGGTCAGGGCTGCCACGGTCACCGGCGCGGCCCGCGGCCAGCCGGGCGGACCAGCTGAGCTGCTGCTGGAGGTCCCGGCCACAGCTGTTGGTCGAGCTGGGACGGCCTGGGATGCCGAGGTGGCCGAAGGAGGTCGAGGTGGATGGTATTATAGGGTGCGTGTTGTTTTGGCTGCCTATGTATGGTATTATGCCTGTTTAAAATGTTACCGCATGCCTAATTTTACATGCGAAAATGAATAAGGTTGCGATAAAAATGCCGGATAATGATAAAAATTTGCAATACAGCGAAATGACAATGCGTTGTCAATTTAAACAACAAATGAACTTAGCGCTGCATATGCATAATGGCTTACCTATGAGTAAAAACTCAGCTTATAGCTTATCTTTTCTCCATGTTGAATTGAGCCACAATTTAAGGAAGATAGCACCACCCAGACTACCGCCAACTAATTCAATAACCCGCACTGGCGCCGAGTGGCCTTTTTTACCAGATGTCCGCTCCGCGCGTCGTCTTTCTGCCGAATGCGCAGTCGGTGACTCATTTGCGGTTTATTAAGGTGGCAGTTACCAGTGTTGTTGCACAGAAAAAGTGGCCGTTTCGGTGACGTTCTGACGCCTTACGAGCGACGCCGCCACTCCATACACAGCGGGTGAGTGGGGCCGCCGCGACTTCAAAGCGCCACTGGACAGACCACCGTCATCGGTCCCTCAGCACCGCCGCTGCTCACCGTCTAACGAGCGGCCGTGGCAGGCGCCAACGAAACGGCGACACTTTACACGACCGCCGTGCATCAAACTGACAACGGTCACGATAGGGCGACTGGAATAATAATCTGAGCCTCCGGGACGGTATTGGTGACCATTACGGTGACGGCGTCTGTAAACAGCCCTTTCTGGCCGGCTGCGTCAGGTGGCCACGCTCGCTGACTCATCGTCAACTCGTTATCGACTCGTGCAGCTTCGTGAAAAGCCCTTAGAACCCCGCGCCTGAGAGGCACCTGTGGTAAATCCAGCGGGTCATCTGGCCAGTGCGGGCGAGGATACCTTTATTAGGCACCAATCGTCCCCAGTTCAGTGGGCAAAGAGTGCCTCTCGAGAGCACGACCTGGTGGCTTACGGCGGCGGCTCGGCTTTGGTTCTGTGTGGCGTCGGCGCGAGGTACGGTGGCGGAGCTCAGCAAAGGGGCATCAGCACCTCACAATGTGCTCCGTTGCACAGGGGAGATCGGGGCTTCAGCGGAACCAGGTGCTGTCAGTTCAGTTCACCCGTCCCGGACACTGCAGGTCCTGAGGTACTCTCGACGGGCCTTGGGTGGTCGACAGTGAATGCTAGTAGGCAGAGATCGGTGGCTAGGGTCGGCGGAGGACACGACAAGGACGGCGAATCCTGTGTGGGTCCCTAAGTGACAGACTGCAAATGGGTACTTCCCCGGCTTTCAAACAAACATTCTGCATAGTTTCGTCGGTGTCTTTGGACGCCGTAGCACTGTACCTATAAGCTCATATGGACGGACCGTCCCAAATCGTCTGCGGGTGTGTCCTTCTACCTGGGGGTGCGGCCGCCGACCTGTACCCGCACCGCCCTCTGAGTCACTGGCACATGGCCGCCACCGAGGGACGCTCGGCTCTCCATTGCACGAGCATGGAGTGGGGAGGGTTCCGCGAACATCCATAAACACACAAATGGCGAGACAGCCTCCAAACCCGGCTTGAGCCGAGGTCAGGGGCACACCTCAACAGTGGGCCTTACACGTCGCAGAAGCGATATTTTATAGCCGTGCTTAAAGAAGTACCTATAAGATTTATGAAGCAAGTGTAGTGAAAGGTACAAAGTCATGTAAACACGCTTTGGCTTAAAATATCGACAAAGCCAATCAGGCCGGTTTGTAAAATAGGTCCGAACATAAAACCAATGTCACTTTTATCGGCTCATGACCGACGTGACATCTATCTAGGTGACACTTTCCTCGCCTTTTGGTGTCCGTATCGAGTAGTTATCGAGCATCTATCACTCGTGTTTATACGACAGCATGCGATACCAACACTGTCATGCGTGTCAATGGAAGGGATATCATTTTGTGAAGGGTACCCGATTTGGAAATGATATGCGTCACTCTTTATTTGCGGTTTGGATATCAACTTTCGGCTATCCTCGATACATTTTCTCACGTCCGTGCTGCATTTCTCCTCCCCTTTTCTAGCCGGTGACGTCGGATGTATCAGGAACTCGGTCGGGCGTGTCTAAACACTCGGCTCATCATCCGATTAGTTGGAAACTGTAGCCACTAACTGCGGTCGGCGCGGGCCTGGATCGGCCGGCCGGCGCCGGCGGCTCGGGGCGCTGCGGCCGCTGAGCAGTCGGCTGGCGTCATCCTGGCATCTCCGGGGCGGGGCTTCGCTGCACGAGCAGGGAACTGACGGGGCACTGGGTAGGATAGCTGGCTGCAGTTTTGGAGGAACCGTTGGATGAAGTTAATGACTAACATTTACATGAATGTGATGCTCTGACGCGTCAGATTGAATTTAATGACCGTAGGTTGCCGATGAACAAACACGCCGATATTTTTCGTCTCGAGTTAAATATAATAACAATTGAATTGCGACGAGCACGCAACAAGTCAGATTTTCCAGATGTATCCGTTACGCATTCTTCCAGGGAACGAATGCTAAAGTTTTGTGTGAGCTCTCCGGGAGTGTCGCAGTTGGGACGAGCTGGCCCAGCTGCACAGCTGGGGCGCCTCACGGTGGGAGCCCAGCGGGATGGGAGCACGTCAGCTCGTGCATGAGAGGATCGTGTCACAGAGTTGGTGCATGCGAACGATCTTGACAGCTGTGACAACGAGAATAGATTGTGAGCAGCGGCTGACGTGCCGGGTACGGTAGAGGACAGACTGATGGTGGGGGAGACCTTAGTGTGTTTGCGATCGGGAATACTTTTGAACCGAGTAACCGAATTAATCTAGAAATGAAATCATAAGGACATGGACTGAGTGGCAAAGGGCGTCCTTGTCTGCAAATTTACTTTTGAGGGACAAAAAGAGTAACATGAAGGAATAATATTCAGGGTGCCCAAAAAGTGCAGGTCATCCAGTACTCATGAAACAAGGAAATTCCTAGAATGGTGGATGCGCTGGCGCCTTTCTGGAGAGCGCAGACCCGAGCACCCGGTCCTGTTCCCATCGATGCAGAATATGTGACAGCCAACTCGGTGCATTCAGCGCCTGAAGGTGCCTACTTTACAATGCAAACTGCGCTGCAGGTACTCATGACATCGCGACAGCGGCCGCGGGTGCATTAGGGTCAGCAGTGGACCCAGCACAGTCCCCTGCGGCAGCCCGTGGTGCCGGGAGGGACGCCAGCGCACCTGCTGCACACAGTGCACGGTGTCCATGACTCCGGCGGCGACAGGGCACAGGCACGCGGTGATTAGTGGCTCGGCAGTGCCATCCGTCACTGTCTGCCGCCGGTATGCTGCGCCCACCGGGCACAGGCGCCTCGGTGGCACCCACAGGGCAGAGACGCCGCCTCCTCAGACACAGCTGCGGCGCAGGACAGTGCCGGGCGCAGTCTGAGTCAGGGAGGCGCAGTGAATTTAGAATGATGCGTTTTCAGAAAAGTAGCGCGATTCTTATTCAATATTTGTGTGTTTTCTTCTGTTTTCTGTTTTTTTGTCTTACGTCAGTACCTACGGAATTTTAAGGACTCCTTATCGCTCAGAAAACATTGATGAATGTGTGCAGAAATTAGCATTAAATGGTGGTTTTGAAAATGCGCAGGGTTCATTAGGGTCTTACGTCGGTTAACTAACGGTCTGTTATATCAAGAAAGTGACGTGGAATTCCCCTGCATGCTGGGGAATGCATTCTACGCTGGAGAGCAAACGGAAGTGGGTCTGTGGGCGCTCAGCTGCGTCGCGGCTGCCGGCAGTTCGGAGACCGGGATGTTGACACAGGAAACGAACCGGGCACCGCACACCTGGTCTCTCAGCAGTGTGCAGCGGCCCCCTGGCAAACGGCCAGCCAAACCGCCAGATACTGGCCTAGTTAGGCGTGACATCCTGAGTGAAATTGATTGAATAAAAATGAGCTAGGTAATAGGGAAATGATACCGAAGTTAACGTCCTTTACAATTATCACATAAAAAAAGAGAACACTACGACAAACCTAGTAAACAATTAAATGAAGGCCCGTTGGCCGTGCACTCACCTCTATCTGAAGCTCCGTCGGGGACTTCCAAATCGTCGGCAAACGCGGCGTCCACGGAGAGCACGCGCCGGCCGGCTGCGCGCGCCTCGGCCGGCGAGCGTCCACTGGCGCTGCGCGGCGGCTTCGGGGGCTGGCTCAGCACCGGCCTCCGCAGCACTTGGCCATACTTGCGACGGACTGGAGCGGCGCGAGCGACGCCGGCGCTCACACTTTCACCGGAGCCAGCACTGGCGGCCGCCGAGGCCGGGCGGCGGCGGCTGGCAGAGGTGACGTCACCGGTGGCCGCGCGCCGCCCACCCCCTGCCGCCGGCTCCGGGGGCGCATCGCTGCAGCCCTCCGGGGACGGACGCCGCGCCGGCTTCGCGCCGTGGCCAGACCTCTGTATTCTGGGATCATCTGGAGAGGAGTAGCGCCGCCTGGGCCCCGCTGGGTGACGCGGAGGAAGTCGGCTGGTCGTCAGAGAAGCTGAACCCCTTTGGTGGTGTCCAGACAGCTCGTCAGGCTCACGACCTGATGCGGCACTTTCTTCTTGTCTACCAAAATCATCCTCTGCTTCCTCTAGCTCCTCTTGACTTAGCTCCTCCACCTCCCCTATTTCCTCGTCTTTTCCCAGACCCTCTTCCTCCTCGCTGTCCTCTTCGTCCTCCTCCTCTTCGTCCTCTTCCTCATCATCCTCCTCTTCCTCCGAATCATTTCCTTCTTCATCTTCACCGTCAACTTCAAGTACGCATTCCAGCGGCTGTTCTTGAGGTGCCAAAATCGGTTCGATGACTGATGGAGCAGGTGTTAGTTTGTGCTGAAGTGCTCCATCCTGCTCATCCTGATACTGACCATGAATTTCTTCTTCGTCATCAAACACTTCATCTTCCACTCCGTCCTCACCTCCGATGTCTTCATATTCAGCTGCATCAGCTTCCTCGTCAGCATATCCTTTGACCCGTGTTATTTTGTGGTCGCTTACTTCAGTCGAAGGTCCTTGATCTTCCCTATCTGAGGTATATTCCTGCTGATGCTGCTTTGTCTCCTTCTTTGCAGCAGGTCGTGACTTTTCGTTCCTTCTTGGGAAATCATGTTGATTCTCTTTCATCATCCGGTCTGTCTGATTGCTGTCAAACAGGCCATGTTCGCTGTTTGCCTGTTTCGTTTGGAGTGACTCGTTTTCTATGTGAATTGGTAGAGGAGTGAAATGATGGGGAATTTTCTCCTCAAAGCCACCAGTGGCAAACTCATCAGTCGAATCAACTGAGGAATGCCGTCTTTTGGAGATGTATTCCTGCCGTTCTTCGTTCTCTTGAGGTGTAGGTATATCCGAGATAGATTTCCGTCTCCCATGTCGGCTGCCCACCCTTACCGGCCCATGCTTTTCTTCCGGCTCAAGTACAGAACTTCGTCGCATGAGCTGTCCCAGTGGCCAGTGAGACTTGTGCTTATGGCCGGCGGTACCTTGCCGTGACTTCGGCGATTCTTTGGTGGCGTCTTTTTGAGTGGTTCTTTTCACAGTCCTTGAATCGATGCGTGCATCTGGTTTTGGTTTCTCTGGGGATTCAACCGTTCTCCGGGATGGTTCTGGCGTTCTCTTCTCTGTTACGGCTGCGACATTATTTCTCTGTCCGCGAAAGCTGGAAGAAACGGATGGTGGGGTCGACCTCAGAGCTTTACCCTTCATAGCCTTTTTAGGGACGAGCGAAACTGTCTGGCGATTGAAGGGCGCGTTACGTCCCGGTCTTCGTTGACGAGCTGATGCAATGGATTGCTGTCGTTCAGTTCGGGGGGCCCTGTCCGCGGAGGAGGAGCGGTGCCTTGTTGTCGACGGTTGTACTAGTAGCCTTTTTTCCAGTGAGTTGTCGCTTTGTCTCTTCAGGAGCACGGGTCGTGACCGCTGCTGAGACGGCGGCTTCGGTGGCACTTGTGATGCCGATGGCCCCGCGACATCTGAGCTCTCTGATGCACCCAACCTTCTTCGGACTACACCTCCACCCCGAGGACGGCTAACAGGCGTTGATGGCGCGCTGACTTGTGGCGTGATTTGTCGACCGTTTGCTGTGGCTTTCCCAGGACTGTCCTGTTTCGCTGCACGTTGTTTGGTCTCCCTCGGGAGGGTGTTGGTAGGGGTCTGTGGAGTGACCTTGTGAGAAGCGCGAATGACCTGTGGGGTTGTTGGTTTTGTCCCGGATTGATTTGCACGACCTTTACGTGTCTGGACAGGGGTGTCCGCTCCACCAACAGGTATTCGCCCCACCTTCATCGAGTTTGATCGGGAAGGAACGGTGCCGGGACGTTGCCCTTGTGGTCTTGCGGAATCAACTGATGTGCGCCGCATTCCACTTCCTCGACTTTTGTCTACACCAGATACTTGCCTAGTCATGCTGGGAGTGGTAGGGGTCCTCAAAGAATCACGCCTCGTTGTCTGTGGCACTGCATTTACGGTGTATTTGCCCTTGGCTTTCAGCGCATCTTCAGCAGTTAAGGAGGCACGCCTCACCATGCGGGCAGCCAAATTACCAACCTTATTTTTGCGTGCTTCTGAAGACCCTGGTGGGTCAGTTGGAGGGCCGGAACTTGAACCATTTACTTTGCTGACGTCAAGGCTTTCTGAGGTGCTTCGTTCTCTGGAGCGACCTCTTCCAAGCACTTTCCGTTTCACGGACGCTACCTTGCTTGCGACATTCCTGGTCATAGAAGGCTTACGCTTGCTCTTGGAGGCTCCTTCGTCTTCGTGCTTGGAAGGAAATGTTTCAGAGGACCCGTGAGAAGACGATTTGCTCTGCACCAGCCCAGCAGGTACACCGTCCGAAAGAGAACTAGCGGATCTGGACTTCGTCGTTTGGGGATAAGGTTTTCTGTCAGTAATCGCCGTAGCGCTCCCGCCGTCTGGCATTGGATGGATTGGTCCCGATGCAGACAGGAAAGGAGTAGGAGCCCTATCAAGTGCCGACTCTGCACTAATGCTCTCAGATAGGCGTTTGGCAGGTTGCGCCTGGAAGTGAGTGGAGCTGGACACTCGGTCAGGTACGGATTCGGCGCTGCAGGTGGTGGATCTCGGACTGTCAGGTCTTGAGCGCTCACGAGAGGTTGCGGTAACCATCTCATCAGGGACTGAGCCTGCGCTGGCTAGCACCGGAGTCGTTGGCTTTGATTGGGACATTGTTCTTCTCGATGCGTGCGACTTGTCTGAGACTAGTGACTCAACTGACCGTGACACTTGCCTGTCAGTGGATGCAATGACTGAGCGCTCATAGCTGCGCTTCCTTCTCCCCGAGGTCTCATTGGTCTTACCCTGTGATCGTTGGGTTTCCTTTAGCTCCCTAGCTTTTCTCTGAGCTTCCGCCGTTTTCTTGAGAGTTCTTATGGTGGGTTTTCTATCCTGGCGTTTCTGCACGACGGCTGACTTCCTCTTGACGCTAGGAAGCTCAGCTGTGGGCCTTGTAACTCTGGAATATGTCAAGCTGCCATGGGCGGTTTCCCTTGCTATTGTGCTTTCCGATGCGATCGATAGGCTGGACTCAGTTTCTAGATCGCTGTCCCCCTGCTTGTTGAGGGTGATCGGGCTGGCAGTTCGGCTGGGTTGTACTTTCCTTTGAGCACCGGACACCCTATCCTCCACACTGTACCCTGAGTCCATGCCCTGCAAACGAGCACGCTTTAGTGCTGATGCAGCTGCCCTCCTTGTCTGGCCGTTCGAGGCTGCATTGCTACCCTTTCTTTTGACGACATCTCGACCGGTTGCTGAGCCTTGGTGCCTAGATTTCTGAACGGCCTTCTTACCCCGAATTGTCCGATCACTTGGTGCGTCAGAAACGGACTCGGTAGTCGTGTTCAGCATAATCTCAGGCTGCGTCTGTCCCGAAGGAAACGAGTCGTCCGAGGCCAGCGACACGTTGGACCACTCCTCTTCGTTGTCGTCTCCTCGCGCAGTTTGCGGATGAGGAGGGACTACCGGCTCGTCAGAAACAGCGTCACCAGTCGTCGTGTGCAACGCCTCCTCAGGTAGCGTCTTTTCCGAGACGAACGACCCGTCGGAGGCCAGCGACTGATTCGACCACTCCTCTTCCTCTTCTCTGGTAGTCAGCGGAGGAGGAGGAACGACCGGAGGCCGCTGATCCTCCTCGTCTGAGTCACTCATCATCTCCCGCTCTTCCAGAGGAAGCACAGCAAGCCGAGCCTCGGAGAGCTCTGATGAAGGCCTGGAGGAGAGGGACGCGCCGTGTGCCTCGTCGCCCGTGGTGAAGTACCCCGAGTCTGTCTTATCGGGTGACTGTTTGGCCTCCTTATTTCGCGCCTGTGGCCGCTTGTCGCGCATAGTGGCGCCCACCAGTGACGTCATTCTCGGTCCGGGTGGTGTGACGTCACAGCTTGGAGCACCTGTGGGAAGAAGAGGAGCGTTAGCGCGAGCCATGTCGATAACTAAGCTCAGTTAGGTACGTATAGGTAGGTCTCTCTAAATTCAGTTTCCTTGCGGTTTAGTATCAGTTTTCCTCTTGGCCTACTTTGGCACGTGTTTTGTAGGTTGGGCATTGAAGAAGGGTTGAATGGCTACGTGTAGCGAGTGTAATGTAAAAAAAAATGTTTTTTGGTTTTGTTTTCGGTCTTATTCAGTTCGGCGACTTTGATGAAATGAATAATTCTTGTAAGTATGCACTGTGTCATCAGTAGACATAGGTAACTCGGAGATAGTTCATCTTTAACTTACATGCCGACAAATCACGAAGAAAAAAGCAATGTATTTCTGCTTATTGCCGCTCATCATAGGTTGCTTGGCTTCACGCCTGGCAAGCAGCTTACTGAAACCCTCGCACTCTGCATGTGCCCGTTATTTTCCGCATTACTCAATGGTCGTTCCGCTAACCCTCGTGCTGCCAGAAGGCCTCACGCATGGACGACAGCTTTGCAACACTGACTGACTATTGCACCATGATTCCAAAGCGCAACAGGCTGCGTGGGCTGACTTGCCGAAGCTCCAGCGCTATCACACAAACATCATGGCTAATTAAACCTCTCATCGCCCTGATGCAGTTTTCAGCAGCGACAGTAAGTTACCGGGAGCACACGACATTCACCGCAGAGTTTTTGCGCTCCGCACCACACACAGTCACAGATAGACAGAGTCACTGCAGTCACCCCGCGGCGACTCCCCGCTCGCTCCCCTCGCCCCGAGGCACGGGCCGGCACTAGCTCGTTGCCAGCCCTCACCCTCACCCTCCTCTCGGTGCACTGTAAACTCTGCAGACGAGGACGACGAATGCGGCCGTCTGTTCTGAGACGCTGTGACGCAGAGAGGAAATCAACAGAGGCGGCGGCGCCGTCGCGACGACGATACACTGATGATCGTTCTCGTCCTGCGCACCTTCTGCAAACAAACAGGCTGTGTTTCTCGGCCGGCCGTGGACAGCGCCGGGTCCCGGGGATCGACCAGGTTTGTCTGGACAGGAGCGAGAGAAGGTTTACATGCGGTTGGCTCTGATCTGCCGCCGCTTGAGGTTCTGTCCCATCTCTGTGATTCGCTCATGATCCTGTGGTCTGTCCCGACTCGGTGGTCCGCCGGTCCTTAGTCAGCGGTCCGCTGACCGGTAATTTCGTGGTCGGCGGAACGCGATCCTCCGATCCAGGGTCCCCGGTGCGCCGATCCGCCGCCCCGCTCCGCGGACCGCCGCCTTGATGTCTCGGATTATCCGCGGCCGGCCGTGCGCCGCCCGAGTAATCGCGTTTCGTGATGTTGGGTAACCGGCCACACGCCCTTCCAATCGGCGCGACGAATCCATTTGGACGGCTAACGGGTGCGGACGGAGCGCGACTCAGAGGTCATGACCTCCGCGCCGCGCACCGACGCGACCGCCACGCTCTCCGCCGGTCGTCGGCGACCGATTCTGACCAAAGCTCGCTGGTCGCGCGTGCGAGCTGCCAGCTGAAAATGCAGCCAATATGTGATCACGTGACTCGACTGCGCCTCGCTCTGCCGGTCGGCAGTTCACACGAGCTGGGCGGAGCACGCGTGCATCAAATCGGGCCCGACTGATCCCCGGTTCGGCCGCACATGGGACTCTCAAGGAGAGCCGCCCGCAGCCGGAGAGACGGGGTCGCCCGAGTGTCGGCGGGACGCTGAGTCGCCGGATATCGAGCCCGGCTTTGTCGGCCTTCGTTGGTGCGACGGTCGAACGTGGTTGGTTGAGTCAGAGAGTGATGGATAGGAGACAGCGTATCAACGTATTTGAGCACGACGTATCAACATCCGGGTCGTCGCAATGACGAAGTACTGACAGAATGATCAATGCCGCGTCACGGGCGGCCATCGGTCGGCCGGACCGCACAGGAAAACACGCATTTTTAGCTATGCTGCAACTGAGTCCACATATGCGATATCGTGGAAATGGCTAACGGAAACCGGGTGAAACGACGTCTTTTATCATTTGGCTGTTATAGTAGATTGTGATGCCAGTCGTTGAAACTTGAGTTGCAGTAAACCGAATCAATGTTTTAAGCGTAGATCCGCGTCTTTTTTTCCAAATTAGAACAAGCAAGATCTCTTGAACGTTGAAATATTGTTATGTTATGCTATTGCTGAAACGTTTAAATTATATATAACATTTTTCTTAGTACATACGAGAAAACCGCATTCTTCCTTGCAGTTTGTAGGTATATAGGTATGTAAGTAGTTTTGTCAGACAGCATTTAGATGGCCCAGGGCAGTACCCTGAACTTGCCGCCTGTCTCTGGATCAGCTCTGGGGTCCGCTTTGTCCGCTAGCGATACAGCACAAATGAACGGCACGTCTGGTCACTGATGCCCTATACACAAACATCTCATCTGGGAATACATGCGTCCCCATCCCGCTCGCTGAATTCCAGATCTATTTTCTGTCACCGCGTGATTCAGTGCCGACCTATCAAAACACTATCACTCTCCATCACGTACAGGGAGTTCACATGTCAACAAACCGCGGCAGGCGCGCAATATTTCACCGAACCCGGCGGCACATGCACCCCGGCCGCGTCCGTACGTGATTCAGCCGACATTCGAGACAGGCCCCCTCTCGCCCCCCTGGTGGCGGAGGATTTGACCCAGTCTGCCGGAACCCTGACACAGTTCAGCGCCGGGCGCGAGAGAATCTCCGGCGCCGCTGGTCCAGTCGCTCACATTGACAAGGAGCTGTTGCCACCAGGCGGTGATCAACAGGCGTTTGGCGATGGCAGCAGCCCATCTCTTGCTTTCCTCTCTTGCCGCCGCTGCCGCTTTGGAGCGGTGGGCGGTGGGCTATATGAATGTCTCTCGGTTGTCTCAGTTGGTAGGGAGTGACAGAGACGGACAGAGACAGACGGCTCTCCGTCGCTCAGCGGAGACATTGACAGAGGGAGACAGAGTCCCGATCGGCAGCAGAGTGGGGAGCGGAGAGAGAGAGAGAGAGAGAGAGAGAGAGAGAGAGAGAGAGAGAGAGAGAGAGAGAGAGAGAGAGAGAGAGAGAGAGAGAGAGAGAGAGAGAGAGAGAGAGAGAGAGAGAGAGAGAGAGAGAGAGAGAGAGAGAGAGAGAGAGAGAGAGAGAGAGAGAGAGAGAGAGAGAGAGAGAGAGAGAGAGAGAGAGAGAGAGAGAGAGAGAGAGAGAGAGAGAGAGAGAGAGAGAGAGAGAGAGAGAGAGAGAGAGAGAGAGAGAGAGAGAGAGAGAGAGAGAGAGAGAGAGAGAGAGAGAGAGAGAGAGAGAGAGAGAGAGAGAGAGAGAGAGAGAGAGAGAGAGAGAGAGAGAGAGAGAGAGAGAGAGAGAGAGAGAGAGAGAGAGAGAGAGAGAGAGAGAGAGAGAGAGAGAGAGAGAGAGAGAGAGGAGAGAGAGAGAGAGAGAGAGAGAGAGAGAGAGAGAGAGAGAGAGAGAGAGAGAGAGAGAGGAGAGAGAGAGAGAGAGAGAGAGAGAGAGAGAGAGAGAGAGGAGAGAGAGAGAGAGAGAGAGAGAGAGAGAGAGAGAGAGAGAGAGAGAGAGAGAGAGAGAGAGAGAGAGAGAGAGAGAGAGAGAGAGAGAGAGAGAGAGAGAGAGAGAGAGAGAGAGAGAGAGAGAGAGAGAGAGAGAGAGAGAGAGAGAGAGAGAGAGAGAGAGAGAGAGAGAGAGAGAGAGAGAGAGAGAGAGAGAGAGAGAGAGAGAGAGAGAGAGAGAGAGAGAGAGAGAGAGAGAGAGGAGAGAGAGAGAGAGAGAGAGAGAGAGAGAGAGAGAGAGAGAGAGAGAGAGAGAGAGAGAGAGAGAGAGAGAGAGAGAGAGAGAGAGAGAGAGAGGAGAGAGAGAGAGAGAGAGAGAGAGAGAGAGAGAGAGAGAGAGAGAGAGAGAGAGAGAGAGAGAGAGAGAGAGAGAGAGAGAGAGAGAGAGGAGAGAGAGAGAGAGAGAGAGAGAGAGAGAGAGAGAGAGAGAGAGAGAGAGGAGAGAGAGAGAGAGAGAGAGAGAGAGAGAGAGAGAGAGAGAGAGAGAGAGAGAGGAGAGAGAGAGAGAGAGAGAGAGAGAGAGAGAGAGAGAGAGAGAGAGAGAGAGGAGTGAAGACAGTCCAGGGAACGTGACGGATGACACTGGGAACAGGTGACAGCCAACGTCAGTCTCTAATAGAGATCAAAGCCTGACAGTCAACGGTACTTGAATAATGGCCCGGCAAATAACTTTGATAACGAAGCAGTCGTCGGCGATTTCTGGAGCAGGAGAACAGAACTGGAGCATCACGACAATGACCTGTCAACAAGAACCACGGTCGTCGTAACAAAGCGACCGGCAGCCGTGATCCCAGAAGAAAAGAACAGCGACGCGTCACCCTGAGATGTCATTCGACATCACGGCGCCATGCTTGTGGCATCGGCTTCCTGCCGCAGAGCGACCCTGCAGAGCCTGACAAAGCAGACCGCCTCGGGTACAGGATGGGGAGTGTGGTGGTCCGATGCATGTGGCGACTGCGGTAGATCCCAGGCGGCTGCTGGGCTCCTGTGCGACTGGTGATCCCAAAGGCACCACATCAGTGGATACCGCCTGACCGCTGGGGGTCGAGAGTGGTGCCCGCAGACGTCCTTTCGGAGCAAAGAGGGATGGCACGAGAGATGACAAGGACAGTTGCGAGTTGAGATTCTTATAAATGTGCAGTGACGTGAAAACGTGCAACGGAAGCGGAACTTTCGAAAATGTTTTGATGATGCTTACCGTTATCGCTAATGTCCTCTCTGATTCCTCGGACAAATCAGTTACACATATTTGTATCCATCTTCACTGCAACAACACACGTATCTCACCCGTAGAATACCGGAAGTTACACAACCAACACCACTTCCGCCACCCTTACGACCACCACCAGCACCACACACACCAGTCTCTGACCTCCCGTCACCACCGTCACCACATGGCTGGCACCGGGCCGCGTCCATCGGCCTCGACGCGTCGGCACCGGCGGCGAAGGCGTCTGGCACGCGCGCGCGTGGCGCACGTGTGGCGGCCGGCGGGCGTCTGCCGGCGGCGCGGGCGGCTCCGCCGAGCCGGAGGGCCATTTGTTGACGGCCAGCAGCCGCCATCCGTCAGCGCCGCTGGCCGCTGCAGCGGCGCCGCTTCCGGCAGCCGGCCGAGAGGCGGCCTTTTTAGTGTCCCCGCGCACAGAGTCCTCACGGTGTGACAGGTGGGAGGATAGATTGGGAGGAAGGTGGGTGGGAGGACGAGGGAGATACGGGAGGACATGTGGGAGGTGGTCTGAGGACATGTTTCCGGAGGAGAGAGGACAGGTGGGCAGGGCTGCCTGTGTCTTATCGGTTCCACTGGTGATGGCTGGGTGCCAAGGAGATGGTATTGTGTCAGAACAGGTGGGAGGAACAGCGGCAAGACTGGGTCAGAGAGACTGAGAACGCACGGCAAGTGTCGGTGCTGGCCCGTGGCAGCCGGAGCGCGTTATTTGGTTTGGTTTGAATGAGAGGTGAATGGCAGAAAATAAGATACATGCGTACATTTGACAGTTTTTTTAAATATTTTTTCTTACAAACAAGTTTTTTATAATTTTGCGAGGAGGATACCTATACCTTATACCAATCTCTTGCCATGCTAACCACCACACCGATTTCATAAGGCTCGGTGAACTGAACGTTTTCTATTCACGTTTAACTCATAGAGGAGTACGTGTACATGTGTAATTCTGGCACTTTTGCATCGTTTCTGGTCTGGATGTAAGTTGCTACCTACAACTAATTTGCGTAGCTTCCATCATGGTTTGTTCTTATGTGAGGT